ATGTTGAACTGATTAGTGAGGGCTGGACCTTTGCAGTTCTAAACCGCAGTCTCGAGTTTGAGCTTGCTCGTCATCAGGTCGGTATGCCACTATTCTATTCTATTGTTCTCACATTGTTTCTCCTGTACTGCAAGACAGGCAATGGATCCTGAGGTCTATACACGGAACTGGCCTATCGCAATGAGATGCTGCCAACGGCCTGATGCACAGATGCTTTCACAGATTTGTCTTGTCCCAGCAGTATCATGCAGGATGTATCATGATATCGTATATTCGTCCTTGAACACTCAAATAAGTTGGCAACAGGGGCAATGTTGACTGTTTTTGTTCGTGAGGGAAGGGCAGATTTGGGTACGGCAAAGCCCTCGACCTGGTACCAAGGCAGTCCCAGAAATTCAGCGGACCAACCTTTCCAACACAGTGCTGCTCCTCAAGGTGCATGGCTAGGGCGAGTAAGGGGCTCACCAATTGGGTTACTGTAGCCAATTGGCCGAATCCACTTGAATTCCATTTTACACGTTGACTTTGGATCCCCAAAGTGCTGATCAAGAGATGACTGTGCGATTCAGCATTTGTCTAGCGTGTGTAAGCCTCCCTTGTATAAAGCCTTGTCAGGCCATGGGAATCCAAGATATGCTGAGCTTTGATTTCATGGACTCGCCGTGAGGAGCCCCAAGCTATATATAGAATTTATTTTTCTTTTGTTTCTATTTTTTTTAAGCCCGAGGGGGGGGCCACTGGAAGAGGTACTGGACGCTCCTAGCTAGGACACAGGACAGCGCTTGGACTGATCATTTGGTTCCAAATTGTTTAGGGACACTTACCGTTCGAACTTAAGTCTTTTGGACATTGATGATTGGCAGCTCAAATCGCTTGAGACTTTCAAGTGGAATTCTTGCAGGGAGCACACATTGTGAGGATAGATAGTACATTCTTGATGCCATTGGTCGACCCAACTACCATCCTTCAAAGGCCTGTCGAGACCATGATCAACGCTCTCGAGTCGCTTTGGCACATGCCTCAAACTGTTTTCTGTATAATGACACCAGGCTTGAGAAGCAAAGATGAGGCTGTTAAAGCGGGGTGTCCTGAGGACCCTGGGATCCTTGGATGATGAAGGAATGCTGACAGATTTGGGCCGTAAGATGGCCGAGCCGGTTTCCCAGACACTTTATTTTTTGATTTTTTGCAACCCATGCTTCTAGAACCAACCTATATATATAACTATATATATATTCATAACCTAGCATAGCAGGCAATCAAAGAAGCAGCCAACACTTTCGCTGATTACAGAAACAGAAACGGCATTGCGAAAGTTCGCGAAAGCTACCTGTTTAGGTTCCCCATGGAGCCTGCCCTCTCCAAGATGCTGCTGACATCTGTGGATTTGAGGTGCATGTCTCGAAGGGTGTCACAGACCACTGAGATGAGAATGACATGACTGATGCGTCTGGGAAAACAAACAATCACGGTGACCATCGAGGTGCAGTGATGAGATCATGACCATTGTCGCCATGTGCCGCCCTTATGTTCCCATGAACACGTGAACTGTGAATTGAACACCCCGAAAGTGCCAGGCTTTCGGTCCAGAACGTTTTCTACCGACCAAAAGACAAACAGGCACGGGCACGCAAAATCAACACTTTGATAAGGAATGCTGCCCTTTGCTGCTGTTTGCAGTCTGGGCGCATTTTTGCTAGGCCGTAAAATTCCTGACATTCGGAGGCTTTGGCGGACCAGAAGAAGTCCAAGTTCCACCAACCGGAAGGCACGCCGCTAGCTGACAAATGGGGTAGACAGATGCATAGACACATCCTCATGTCTTTCAACTACCTTCAAACACCTCTTCAAACAAAGGGGAGGATAGGCTGTGAAGACCGGGGGCGAGGGGCTTGGAGAGGTGTTCAGACACGTGCTTGTTTGGGTGTATTGAATATTTAACTCTGATTGGAGGCGATCACTGCACCCTGCTTGAAGTCTACAAGACCTGGGTGCCATACTCAGAGTTGGACAGTTGGAGGGAAAAGAAATTGAACTCTGGTCAAAGCAAAGGAATGATTCTATAACAATCGCGGGGTTCTGAGGCTCATAACCGCTTTTCCAATCCATGGTGTTACGAGAACTTCATCCAGGCATGTCGACATCGATCCGATTTCTTGAGCTTCCTTCAACAGTTTGCTTCGATTGTCAGGCCCGCGCTTTGCGGCGCTCTCAGGACGTGCACCACCTGTTTCTTCTCGTCTCGGAATCACTACAGAGTCGGAGGGTGGGCTGAATTTGGCAACGTTGCCAGCCTGGGGAGGGGTAGAGGACGCTACTAGGAGCAAAGGACATCGCTACTAGGAGCAAGGACGCTACTACGGGCTCCTGGCCATACTACTAGGAACAAGGTTCGCTACTAGGAACAAGGGCATCGCCACTAGTAACAAGGACGCTATTAATGGCTCCTGGCATCGCTACTAGGAGCATTCTTACTACTAGGAACAAGGACGCTACGAACGGAGCTTTCGACTCTTTGCAGGATGTTAGAAGGCAGCTGATCACCCTGATGGACCGTCACTTGGCCCAAAAGCCTTCATGTCTCAGCTTCCAGATTGCCACTGTCTTGGCTGACGGTGTCACGGTGTCTCATAATATCTCTAGGTCTCTAGGTGTGTCAGACTGCTGTCCAATTTTCTTTGCCTCTTCTTTCAGTCCTTTTGGAGATTCTGAGGCTACAAGTTTGAGGTGGTGTCATGTGGCAACGACTACAACCGAATTAGGCGAATGTCTCGAAGATGCTCTCAAGATTCCAAGACACTCAAGGTTGCAACGATTTCTTTGCAGGAGATGCATCACTGCAGGCTTTTTTGGCAATGCCAGCAGCTGCTTGGCTGAAGCTTACCATGAGACCGCAGACTGTTGCTACTTGGATCTTGAGGGTGGTCTTGCCTGCGGCCTAGGAAGAGATCCACAGGAAGGGTACAGAACCTTGACGGATCACAACCAGGCGCTTGTTTGGCTGGTGCAGAATTCAGCAACCGATTCATCAACTTATTTCCATTTTATTCCAACATGGTCCCCATCTTTTTTGTTGCACCCAATCCTTACCTTGCCCTATCAGTCGATCATCCACTGAACAGAAACCATGAGCAATTTGACATAAGTTTACCATGTATATTCATTCCAGCGGCATGGCCCACTGAAGGTCTACATCCATCCAGCCTCTGCGTTGTATCAGCGCAACCCTGAGTGGATTGTCTACCACGAGCTGGCCGGGATTCTTAGTTGGATGGGTCCATGGTGGGGAGATGAGCCAATTATACAATCCAGCTGAACTTGGTGCATGCTTCGTAGCAATTGAGCACTTTCCAGCGCAACTATCCTTCCGTGGATGCTTGTTTGTCATTGTCATGACACTTGCAGTCCTGTCCAGGTGCTGACGAGCAAAGAATACCTGCGAGAATGCTCCACAGCTCTGGACTGAGCGTTTTTCAATCAGAGCCACAATTCACTGCGGGTCCAAGTCCTAAAACACTTGATCCTTTACAGAAACAGCTGAACAGGAAGCTGTAAATTAATGGACATTTTGTAATTGAAAGCGGGATATATCGTCACAGGAGGACTCTTTCCTGTCCTTTACAAAGCGTTGCTGATCATTTTGGCACGTGAGGGTACGGTATGCAGGTATGCATTTCACGGAAAGGCAACTATTATTTTCTTTCAGTCCTTTGAGATTTGACACATTGCCACTTGAATGGCTTTGTTCAAGACTCGTGACGAGTGCAAAGCTGCCACCTTCTGTTCTGTGCTTGACCGGCCAAGATTGAGCCGCAGTGGTTGCCTGAGTTGGCGCCAAACCTCTTCCAGCGGGCAGACCCCACGAAGCTGTCCAAGAGGAAGCTTAGCTTCAAAATTATGCAGAACACGCGAGAGCAGCTGTGACCTTCACGTCACTATTAGTTATTATATATCTGTTATCCATTATCATGATTACGACTGAGGAAAATGCGGGAACGCATTGAGCCAGGAACTCAGGCTAGTTTCCCACTTCGGCACCGAGACCAGAGTTCAGAGTTCCTGAACACCTAACATTTTGTAGTCGAACAGCAGCTGACCAAACATTTACACCACTCAGGCCCCTCTACAATCGCTTTGAGCAGCCAAATGCCTGGCGGTTGTCTCGCCGTCGTGGCTGAGATCGGACAGATCTACACTGAAATTACATGGAAAACACATGGACACCCACGCTTGATTCTTGCTGAGTCAGCCTCACAGGTCATATGGACTGTAGGATTATGTAGAAGGCAGTTACATGCGCCAGAGTCTTGACACCCACCCTTTAGTATTGTTCAGACAAAGAATAAATAGAGTCTCTCATGCTGCCTGGGATTCAAGGGATGAGATTTCCCTCGGAGTCAAAGTGCACTCGCCGGCACTGGCCAGCGAAGACACAGCTTGACAAGCTGCGAGACAAAGAATCAGCGGTGTGCATCGGCCAAGCAAGTCATTGGCATGATTTGTTAGAAGATCTGAATCGCTTGCAGCAGGATTATGTTGACCAACTTATTTATCCTGTTGTATTTTGATACTGTTGCAGACCTTGGAAGATGTTGGCCACATTTGGCCACTACTTAACTCAAAAACAATTATCGGCTTTTAGCCAAGTTGCGTTGCTGTTGGGTCTTCAAGCATCACCTTTACAACATGCTTTCACGATACTCGAACAATCGTAAAGACATGAGATAGGTGAAACACCACGAACCCCAATAACACACACACAGACTTTCCAACTCAAAGATATTGATTTGACAATACATCACTACAAGTAACAAGTGCATCGCTACTAGTTACTCAGAGTTACTAGTAGCAAGAAGCTGATTTGACAATATTCAATCGGAAGAAAGCGTCGGGACATCGAACACCGAGTGACTGGAGCAACCGAGTCACCGAGTCACGAGTTCACAACGATATTCAGTTTCTCAAGTCCACACACACCCCGAACTATAGTGAGCAGTGAAGATCATTACCACAATCTGCTTAGTGTGCGCATTGGTTCTCAATGCCGCAAAAGAAAAACAAAGGAAGCCTTAATCGGTGCCTTGACACGATGGAGTGCAAGATGATACAAGATGATCACGTTTAGATACCGAATCGGAGAAGGTTTGGAGAATGATGTTGAAAGACCTACAACATCCTAGGTGGCAAGAGACAACCAACTTGAGACCTAGAGACTCCGGCCATTTTGAGGTTTCTCGTGGTTTTTTTGTGACCTATGCAGCTCGCAGCTCAGGCAGGTCTCAGGTGAGGATGAAGACCTTTCTGCCTTGGGAGTGCCGCTGGATGCAGTTGTGAAGGCTACGAAATGGGAAGCTTCCGGAAGGTTCATTCGGTTGCGGTGAAGGAGGGCCAACCAAGCTTGGCAGATGAGCATAAAGAATACCAGTTTCCGGCTTGGTTTGCCTGCTGGTATACAGCAAGTTAGGAACACCAGGAACAGGGTTCTAGCAATACGCTGTTCTTTTGCTCCCTTTTGAAAGTAAGGCAAAAAGAAGACGTAAAGACATTGAGACCTCGTTCCGGAGAAGAGAGTTTCAGTCATACTGACCTTGTGAGCACACTACCGCTGAGCAACTGAATGTGATGGCAATCATGGCAAACTTGTGCACAATGTGGTGGTACACTCCAAGTGCCCAAGCAGATGTTCGCAGATTTGGTGTGCGCACAGCATACCAAACTTCTCCTTGCCCTGGCAGAGTCTCGGCATTGGGAGAGTTGGGCACTAAAGCAAAAGCTTTGAGATTTGCAGTGGTGAAACAATTTAGTGACTAAATTCAATAGTCAGAGTCAGAGTCTAGATATGTTTAGATGTAGGACAAGACAAAACGGTTGAAATGCTTTGCAATGTCACCAGTCTCCATTTTCACAGGTTTGCTAGACTGCTAGACGTGCCCTCACAAATGCTGAGGAGAAGACGGCAGGAGCGATCAACAGGACGAGCTTCAAACGAGTATGATTTACTTGCAAAGCAACGTGGTAAGAAGAGGTTGTTGCATGCTTTGTCTTTGTGATACGCTATAAAGGTAGAGTCTTATGTCGTTGCAAGTGCCTTCAGGATCCGGCTTTTGCATAGATACTGACCGGCGAGTGCTCATCACCAATGCACATTGTGTGGAATGGCACGCGCAGGTGTGAATGCTTCAAACGATTCAATCACTGGTGTATGTCACCTTCGACTCGCTGAGAAAGCCGGTTGGACTGAGGTGAAAGCCCAACGTCGTGGCTCTGATGTAAAGCATTTGGCAAAGGTCCTTTCTATTGGCTGGGAATGCGATGCTGCTGTGCTCACTGTGGAGAATGATGAGCTTTTCGGCCCAGTGAGTCAGTGAGTCAGTGAGTCTTGCGTTCCCTTGACTTTTAGCATGCTTTCCCTTGCGCCCACATGCCATGTGGCTGCGCAACATGCTGGGTAAACGGGGGGGGTTAGCCCCGGACGCAACGCACCGAGGGTCAAAAAACCTTGTTTTTTACAGGGTAAAGTGGCTTTCCGGACACTCAACTTATCGTCTTGCAACTCATGAGTTGCAAGACGATAAGTTGAATGCATTTTGACGGACGTATTCACCGACCCACCTGCTCCTTGTCCATGGCGCGAAAGGGATTTTCCACCTGGTAGGCATTAGTCTTGGTCCCAGTGGAGCCATTTCAGCTCAGTATACATGGCAGCTGGCGGACAAGTGTCTTGCACAGCTTCTCTATGTATCCTGACAGCCTCGAGCATTGCGTCCAACCCAGGATGTTGGCTGAACCACAATGCTGCGAGGCCTTCAACGTGCTGGCGTTGCAGCTTCGCGTCGCAACGGCCAAGCAAACCCATTCTACGCAGTGATTTTTTCATCACTGCTGCCAAGCTTTCTGTACCTTGGTCTCCACCAACGACCGTAACTTTGCTCTGTTTCTCGAGCAGCATGGGTCCCAGACAAGCGGGTCGTCCAGCGAACGAATCGTGACCGGGTGGACCAATGAAGTACGTAGACGATGTACGCGAGTCGTAACCAGGATGAAACTGACCCCCCCCCCCCCCCCCCCCCCCCAAACCCGAAAAAACCAGACCACATGTTACGGGCGGGCTAACCCCCCCCGTTGACCCAACATGCTGCTTTGCTGCTGCCAACATGCTGAGGTTCTGGGAGGGCCTTCAGCAAGTGAAGCTGAGCCAAAAGTTGCCTCACCTTGAAGAGGATGTTCTGTGCCGTGGCACCGGTTTGTCAACATGCACCAATTCAATGTAGAACCGAACATACTTTGGGAGATAGACAATGTAGACAAGCGAGAGCAGATGGAACTAGGGCAACTAGGGCAACTGTAATCTTGTTGATACCTAAGGTGTGTCGGCTTTCCGATCGGTGGAGATACCATCAGTGTCACCAGTGGTGTCATCTCCCGGATCGAGGCAGTTGTGGCAACGGACACGGGAAGCTGATTGATCAACATCATGTTGTCTCAGCAACAGTGGGCCAAGCTTGTAACTGGCGAGAATACTGAATACTGTAGCCATTGTTCAGAGATCATCAAGTCCATCCAATGGGTTCCATTCACGTTTGCAAGTGAACGGTGAATTCAGAGGTTGCAGTGCCAAAGGCACTGCAGCGTCCCTTGCTGGACCAAATGATGCAGAATCGAATACATTTGTGGAGAAGCATTTGGAGCCTTTCCAAGTGATTACATAGTAGTAACAAGTGCCTTACTAGTAGTAACAAAAAGCTATTAGAATTGACTTAAATTAATAGCTTCTTGTTACTACTAGTAAGGCACTTGTTACTAGAAGCATGAGTTCCGGTGCAGGTCACAACCTACACACAGGCCTCTGCAGAATTGTTGGGCATCCAAATCGATGCTGCCATTAATAGTGGCAATAGCGGTGGGCCTGCATTCAACAGATGCCCAGAGGAATATAGGTTTCAGCTACTCAGGAGTATTGGCAGTGTTTGTATTCATTTTCAAAGGCAAGAAGTAGACTTGGAGGGCTCAGCTGAGGAAATGGGGAATGTGTTGGCATTGCCTTTCAGAGCATGAACGCTGATGAAGCGGAGAACATTGGCTACGTGATTCCCAGCTTGGTAGTCACACATTTTCTGATCCTTGGATCTCAGTAGGAACAGTGAGTTACTTGTTCACTCTGGGCCCTGGACCCTGCAAACCTCCTTTGCGCATGCTGAAGTACCCTCGATGAAGCAGCATGTGTAGCTGTTGAGGAAGGATTTGTTGAAGCATGGGAAGTACACTGGCTTCCCCACATTGGGTGTGGAAACCCAGACCATGGAGTGTCTTGGCATCACATAGCGCACAGCTGGAAGCGGCCAGAAACAAGAACAGCACCAACCACCCCTTTTGACGATATTGGTGGTTGGGGTGTTGTGGGTGGATGACATCCGAGGAATTCACAGCTGCGAGAGGCGTTTGGCATGAGCCACAAGCCGCATGGCGAACGTTGACATGCGTTGACATGCATGTTTTTGTACGCCCTTCTTACTGATTTGTTTGACCAAATAACGTGTGTGTGTGATTTGATATTTGTTATTGTTCCTCTTGTAGCAAAGTCCTCAGTTCAGTTTAGTTCAACAGGTGAAGATCTTAGAACAAAACTTCCAGCAATGGTCAAACTCTTGTGATGACTTTCGTACGAGGCAAAAAGGTGTCCTCATCAACCGAGTAACACCAACTTCAGCAGCAGCAGAGGTGCTCAAGGCCCGCAGTTCTTGAACTCTAGCCTTGCTTGAAGACGTTGCGACTCAACAATGGCTTGAAGCATCTTGAAGCGAACTGAAATCTAGATTTCAATGTGACACATCGAAGCAGCATCGTCCAGGCCTCTTATTTTCTTGAGGGCCGCCTTTTGTGCCAGAGCTAGTGTTTGACAGTGAAATGACAAATGCATGTCTTGAAGGCCAACGACATTTTGCTGGCCTTTGATGGTGAGCCGATCGGAAATGATGGAACTGTCCGCTTTCGCAAACACGAGCGAGTGATGTGCTCCTGGTTAGTGGCAGCTTTGGCAGCAAGGGAGAGAACAAATGCTAGTGACCCCCGGGTGGGAATAATGCATTTTATGCAAGTTTGCGCTACCTCAAGCTTTCGAAAGAACCTTCAACGGGCCTCCCCAAAAGTAGAAATGAGCGTCTCACACCAAGAAACGCCGACATTTCCTGTCGTGCTTCCGTGAGGAAAGGTACATATACTTCAGGACTGGCCATGCGGAACATGTGCCAGTCTCAGGCGCAGAAGTTCTTTGGCGAGACGGCAACCCTGACAGTACTTCGAGAAGGCACTGGGGCATTCCTCAAACCTGTGGAGTTGTTGGCGTCGGCCCTGCAGCAGAACAGTTGAACCATCATTTGTACAACATTCTATCTATCTTAATCTTAAAACATCTTAAAAACTACCGACGAGCACAGTCATCAGAAGCGCGAGGCTTGTTTTCTCTGCTTTTTCTATCACAAATTAGCAGCATCAAAAGACTAGTTCTGCTGCCACTACCCAGAGTGGAGCCGCTCACAGTAGAATGGTCAACCAAAAAATATTTGGAAGCATTCAGGCAAAGAGCTGGAGCTGAAGATCGAGAGCCTCTACCCAGAGGCACAAATTGATTTATACTAATTTATATATATGCTGTAGATTCATGTGAGTCAACATTCAGAAGTGGTCACGACACGCATTTTTGGATTTGACATGGTCAGATTTGGGGAGGCTTCAATTGTTATTCGCTGGCGAGGTCCCGCTTGTTCCTGTGCACCTCTTCAACAAGCCAGTTCCAGGTTGGACGACATTCCTTGACGTGCCGAAGCCACGGCGATCAAATGGTTTGAGAATGGGATTATCCTCAGCTATAATTTACAGGGCCGAAGCGGCCGAATGAAGGAAATACAGTAGCATGAAATTGGACGAGAGTTTCAGCATGTTCATTCGGCCAGGGTCAGATGCATTGATAGTGGCTGTAGTTCCTAAGTCCCAAACAAAAGGAATAAAGCCTTTCACCAAGTGATAGCGCTGAATAAGCAGGCGTCGTGCACTCTTGGAAGATTTACAGCTAGACCATCACGGAGCTGAGCATCAGCCATGGGTGTGCCAGGCCCTTCCTACTTCATTGTCGCTGGCTTGGTGTTCACAGTGTCCTGGCTTCTGATTCTGGTGAAGAGCGGCGCCCTCTTCTAGTTCAATTTGACTCTCCACGAAACTCTATTGGCGGCGTAGGGGTGACCGTTGGCAAGGGTTCAAAAACCATCCAAAAAGAGCATTCTTTCTTTCTTCTCGGAGGCTTGTCAAGTTGAACCCTAGAGGGGTGGTGAAAGTGCAAGAGATTGCACCTCCAACCATCAATTTGTTGTTTACTGCTCTTCCGTTGCATCTCGGGTCGTTGGTGTGAAAAGAATTGATTGGTCAAGCTGTTTCCATGCCACGGTATTCCTTCACCTTTATCATTTAGCTATGTGACCGCGACCTATGTTGCACAGAAAGTTCAGTGGCTTCGGTTTGTCCATGAGATATTTGCATTTTCAGTCACATTGAGCCAACTGACATCCTTCACTGCTCAAAACAAGCGGGCATGAGTCGAACGGCCCACTGGAGGTGCTCTCAGAGCCCTTGCTTGAGTCTGAGTTTGGTGCAGACTGGGATACTTGGCACACATTTCCTCTTCCAGCCCTGCGAGGCTGAGAGCTCCTTTGCTCGTAGCTACTGCTACTTGCTCCTAGTAGTACGGCCAGGAGCGCCTAGTAGCGTCCTTGTTCCTAGTAGCGATGCCAGCAGCCGCTAGTAGCTACTATTTTGCATTGTATTCTAGGAGTCTGATTTACATACACTGATTTGGTGTGCGATGGGCCATAGCCCTCAATGAATAAGAACATTTTATGAAGTTCTTGCACTTGCACAAGCGCCCATGCACCAAGGAGCACAAGGCTCCAATCGAGATGGTCAAGTCTGCCATACAGGCGCAGTCTGGCAACGCGAAAAGCACCCTTGCTTGCGCCCACCAAAGGCACCTTTTGATGAGAATGCAAGTTTCTACTCCGACTGCTATGACTATGCCTCGGACATATGTGACATGTGTGACCTACATGGTTCGATCGCGCAACCTGAAGTTTGTCACAAATGCCTGGCCGTGCTCACTTTAATAAATTGCTAGCACGGTGCCATGACATTTACAGTATATAACAATTAGATACAATTAGTATATATTGTAATATTGCATTGTTACCAAGAGTCCAAATGCCAAGTGGCCACATTTGATTGAGCTTCTAGACACGCAAAGAACTCATAGTCACAGAACTCATAGGTGGCAGGTCCCCCTCTTGCCGGTGTTGTGAGTACAGCCTCGAGTCAAGTGGATTAAGAGGATTAGTAGCAGTAAGGCCAGGAGCCCTAGTAGCGTCCTTAAGAGGTTTTTTCAATCCCCGCATTTGCCAGTCCCGTGCCGACTCTCGAGATCAACAGCTGGTGGTGCTCACTCAGGCGAGCTGTGAGGTTCGATTCCAGCTTTCCGTCGGCCCAAAGATCCCTTCAATATCCTTCAACACTCTGTCCTTTTTTTGCGTTTCCTTGTGCAGGACATTTATTGTCCAAAACACACATCCAGCACTTGGATTCGCTGTGCATGTTTTCGACATGATTAACTGGCCACAGGTGCTGGCTCACGAGTTGACAATGGGCTTCTTGGAAGGGGTTAATTTGGCTAATAAGCTAATGCGTGTAGAAACCATTCAACCCCTTAGTCAGACATCTGATTTCTTCAACCATTCAAACCCTGAGTTCATTACAACACTTAGCATAGGAGCTCCTCCATGGAGCTCATAGTGGCCTTTGCGGTGGGAGTCACAGGAATTCTTTGTTGCGCAACCTCCAGCAACCAAGCAAGGTTCAAACAAGTACTACCTGTCTGGAATTCTCAATGCAAAGACGCCCTGACCAACACCATAAATGTTCGGCCTTTCAAGGCCCTTTCTTGACCCAATTGCCCATGAAGCAATCTGTCTAGAGCTGCCGTTGTAGCAAGTCCTTCCAGTAGCTTCTAGGAGCAAGGACGCTACTAGGGGGGGGCTCCTGGCCTTACTACTAGGAGCAAGAACGCTACTAGTAACAAAGGGCATCGCTACTAGGAACAAGAAGCTACTAGCTGAATCTCCAGACGGGTCCACAACTCGCTTTGTGTTGATTGTCCTGTCGTGTGTTTTAAGATGTGCATTCCGTCGTGTGTTTTTGGCCTTTGGCAATCCGTCTAGGCTACGATCACTTGGAAAACATGCAGCTCCTTGCTGTGGGCGATGTGCCGGTGCTAAATTTGCGCCATGCCATGGAGCTCACGGAAGCCTGTGAGGGGCCTCTCGCCTGCTTTTTGGCAGTCCAGGGAAGCGAGTTTTTTTGGTGTGGCTAGACATTCAGGCCATACTTGCGCTTCAACCTGCAGCAGAACCAGGTGCCTTACACTTCCTTCACAGCTGTTGAGAAATCTTTTTGCGGTAGAGCCTCGGGCAGGTCCTGATTCTTCGCGCTGCAGAAGCTAGGAATGCCACAGCCGAGGTGCTGGAGAAGCAACTTGGACGATGATGACCTATGATGAACCCAGACCTTCCTTGTTGTCCGATATGTTTTTCAAGGTGCCCCCCCGATATTTCACAACTTGACTTGAATCCACTCTGCTCTTTGGGGGCCTTACGTTCTCCGTTGTTTGCACATGCAACAGTTAATCAACACAACTTCCAGACGAGGCACGGTATTCCACAAGAGAAGAGCCCCGATTTGACCCTTGGCAGTTGGAGAGTATCGATGTACTGAATACAGTCAACCGAATCTAATCCATCCATGTTCAACCTTCACTTTCGTGGACGGAGTGGAAGAGACTATATATATAAATGTACTTTTACATTTTTGTTTAAGGGGGGGTAGGCCGCTAGAAGAGGAAGAGGTAGTCGTAGCTAGGTAGGTAGCTAGTAGAAGAGGTAGCTAGTACCTACAAGTAAGCTACTACATATGGACGCAGAATAGCTCACGCTTCTTCAAGGAATCAGGAAGCTCCTGAGGGCGGGGAGCTGCCTTGAAGAAGCGCTCGCACTGAAGAAGAGCCCCTAGTACTAGTACCGAACATTGTTTCTAGTAGTACGGCCCCTAGTAGCTTCCTTGCTCCTAGTAGCGATGCCAGGAGCCCCTAGTAGCTTCTTGTTCCTAGATTTTTAGGGACACTTAACATGTTTATTACTGTCATTCCAAAACGTGCAACTCAACAAACTCCAGATTGAGAAGACTGAGGGTGGGCGAAAGCTCGAAGCAAGTGAAGTGAGAGCAAGTCTCTTAGTCCTCTTGACTGAAGACTGTACACGTCAATCTAAAGCGGTACAACGAAGAGTGATCGTAACTTCGCCTTCAAAGGGGAGGCCAGAGTGGCTAGTCGGCTGCGAACCATTCAACGCGTCCAATGTGACCTGTATGAACTAGAGGAGGACAGCTGCAACTCAGAGGCAACTCAGAGGATGACAAAGTCCATGAAAAAAAATCTTGGCCATCCTTGGTCTGTGTTCCCGAGCTCTTGATCCTGGAAGTTAGACCGGAGTGACACAGTTGTCTTGATGAAATGCTGAATGCAAAGCACTTGCTGCTATGATCTGATAATGTTGTTTGTCTCCGGGGGAAAGCACCTGAGATGATGACAAAACCTACCTTGGTCCGTGTTCCAGAGCTTTCG